ATAAAAGCCTATGCTCTTTTGACCATGATTTCACACAGTCTTGAATAATTTATAACAATATCAGTTTTTGAAAAACATATGAAAGAAAAGGCAGCCACACATTTGAACAGACAAAATAGGTCAAAAGAGTGTTTAGATTAGATTAGATTGGGAGATATTGATAAATTAGATTTTAAAAAAGGAAAATTTATCCAAATAACACTAAAACAACGCTTCTTGTGCTGAAAAATTGGTGGCAAGGAAATAACTGATAAAATTGATTTAAAAAAGAAAAAAAAATATGAAGACTGCTTGAACAACCCCACAGAAAAATCAAAACAATTATAGAAGTCTCTCTGCAATAACATTAAGATATTGTTTAGGAGACGGGAGCTGTTGAACTAAGAGCTAAGTTTCAAATATTTCAGATGTTCAAGAATGGCAGTTTATTCTTACCGTTATCATCAATATTTTAAAATGATATGGTAAGATGCAGAAATTCAGTACCAAAAGTCCATCTCAATCACCTTGACACACTCATTGTGGTGGATGTCAATGACATTGATGAGCGATGGAAGCCGTCATAAGGTTGAGGGCAAGGAAGGAAAATGACAGTATTTTCCACAGTAAGATCATTGCAAATAACACCAACACAAAGTCTACTACACAAATAAGTCAGAAAGGCTTTCTCTCCAGATGTGATGAGGTAATCAACATTCCACAGATACTGTTACAGTAACATGGACCGTAAAGACAGATAAAAAGCTGTCTTTATTTGGTGGAACGGTTTTGCCAACTTCTCTATCAACATCAAATAATACTTAGACCAAGAATAAGCAAGAGGAAATGAAAACGATAGGGTTCCAAAGCAATGATAAGTGTCTTCAGGGGAAAAGAGATTAAATTTTTATACGTACAGTATTAGAATGGACAATTGAGTTGTCAGGATAATCTTTAGGGAGAAGAAAGTATTCCTAAAATGTGTAAAAGAAGTACAATGATTGGATCTTAAACATCTTTCATCTGACACAGCCATGGGGCAATGGGGCTCCATAATCAGTCCCATTATGAAACAGAAATGCTTTGGTTGCCTTGACATCAGCTAAAATGCATAATATCGTAAAAAGTATATAATAGGCTTGGTATGAAGGAAGAAATCACATTTTCTTGGCACCCAATTTCATTGGACCACTAGAAGTACGACTGGCTCTTCGCAATTCCAACTCTTTTTGTCTCTGTAATTTTTTTTCTTCTCTTCTTCGACGAGCTTCATCAAGTCTAGAAGCTAAAGTCAAGAATACAAAGTGAATCAATGCTCAACTAGAACCTGTAACATGTAAGATGCAAGTGGTGAACAGTCACATTATTGTGTATTTACCTTGTGCCTGGGTCCCTGGTTCCATCGGTTCCCAGTCATTGTCCTCCCACCCACCACCTCCACTTCCACTTCCTCCACCAGTGCTACCTCCACTGCGGCTCCCAGGACTCTTAGCCTCCAACTAATAAAAGAGATCATGATAACTATCCAAAGCTTTCTGATATTTGATTGCCGACATGTCAATAATCACCAAAACTTACCTGGCCTTTATTAGATCCAATGGAGAGATCATCCTTCTCTTTATTCGCTTCTCCCCAGTTATACATGCTAGCAGAGCGAGGTAGATCATCAGCAGGTGGGAAATCAGGGGCTCCCCAACCTTCAGCAACCTCAGGACTATTCAGCTCCTTCAAAACAAAAATTTAATCAACAAATATGCTTTTTACCTCTCCTACCCAATTAAAAAAATTATTACATATACTTACAGGAGCCTCATCCAAGCTCCCCCATTCTTCTGTATCCCACCCATCATTAGACCGAGTGCTGAGACTAGTTCCTGAGGCACCAGGAGTCCCAGGTCCTGGACTGCGAGGATGGTCAGTGGAGCTCTGGGCAGCTAATGTCTGTTGTGAAATTACAATTGGAGATCCATTCCATTACTTGCATCAATCAACAAAAATCATGAAGAACTCGCAACAGACATTCACTTACATCCATGTCACCCCAATTCTCAGTATCCCAAGTTTCATCATAATCTGAGACTGATCCTCTACTAAAGTCCTGTTCTTGCTCCAATGATGTCATGCTTGTTACACTAGATGTTGTAGTAGATATACTACTACTAGATGGTTGCTCTATAAGAATTTAGTTATTTTTAATAAAGAGAAAAAACATTTTAATTGTTGTTATGTTTGTTTTTAAAATTAATTTTTGACCAAATTTAAAAAGAAAAATATTCACCTAAGGAGCCTGGTTTACTTAGCATTTTGCTATGTTGGTGGACAACAGATGATTTGGCGGTATCTGACTGACTGCGATAGAACTTGGCTGTGACTGCAGTTACTGCCCAACCAGCCCAAGTAGCTGCAGCATTAGATAAACTTGGTGTGGCAGTGTGGACATCAGCCTCTGGAATACAGAGAAGAGTATGAGGTATAAGAATAGTTCTGAAACCCAAAATTACCTATATTGTTTCAATGTTGCAGGTATTTGCATTTTTACCCATAGATTCACGCAGAGTGGGGTCTTCTGAAACTTTCTCCAGTTTACCTAAAAACCCTTTAAGAGTTCTGAAAAGTGCATCTCGAACTGATTTATCGGGATCAAGCGCAAGAGGACATAATGCAGGCAAAATACGGTTTGCTACTTCAGATAACAAAAAATATTGTTGGGTAGCTGCCAAAGCCAGGATTCCTAGAATAGTAATATTGTATCAAAATATGGACTGTTTAAAATTCCAGTGGTACTGTGGTCAGTGGAGCTCTTTACCACATTTAAACAAAAAAAGTAGTCAGATCAGAAACATACCAGCCTGCCTTGTTGGTGGGAAAGTATCTCGCATAGCACGAAGAAAAGCTGACACAAGCACTCTTTGCCTGATTTGAGGATGAAGATGCTGTGCTATCTTCCCTAAACAAACGGTGGTGTTGGTGCGAATTCCAGCCTGTTAAAAGATTAGATTTAAAAGTTGCGACACTAATATCAATATCAAAGCAAGAACATTCCTAACCCATAAAATGCCCTGAGAGCATGAAAACTTACTTGCTCATCTCTCGCTTGAAGGCGAGCAAAATGGCGTAAGACTTCAACATTTAAGTTGTTGTAATTGAGTTTTGGGGCCAAATGAATAATCGACTGTCAAACAAGAATAAATTAGTGTAGATAATTACCAAATTCCAGTTCCCATGTGGAAAATTTGCTACAAAGTAAAGATAAGGACAAATAGATACATATCGAACATGGAAGAGTGCCTTACCTTCACAGTTTGTTCTCTAATGGTTGGATTTGTGTCCATAAAACCATGTGCTATTTGAGGAAATATTTGGTCATTAACTGTTGATGATTGCAGGTGTCCTAGTTGAAAAATCAACATCATCATTAGCACAGACACTTGTAATAGTAATCTGAAAACATAGTTTTTCAAGCAATACTTTGATCTTTGAAAATACAGCCGAAACAGAACCCGCTTCTGCTGTCACATGACACTCATTCGCAGACCAAAGTATACCTGGGACAGCTATATCTGTCATAATACATTCAAACAGATGCTGACACCAACCTATAAATAGTTCTAGCTGTTGAAGAAGGCGGACCCTTGTTGCTCTGTCATTGGAAGCAAAGAGTTTTACAACACAAGGTACAATCTGTTTCTGGTATTCTGCCTCTTCAAGAAGTCCACCCAGCTACATTAGATAAAAACAATAGAAGATCTAACTTTTGAAGGAGGAAAACCATATTAAATAAGTGTATAGAAGATAAAAACAATCTGAGAAACAAACCTTAAACATGGGGGCTAGAATTGAAGATCCTGCATCGCCATAAACAAAGGCATTGATCAAATGGGGAAGAATTTTATTCACACAGACATCTTTAGGAAAATTATCCAAAAGAGGGGTTAAGGCACTAAAAAACTTATTCTTTTCCCCTTTGTCTTTAATTTGGATTTCTTCTAGGAAAAGGAGCGTATCAACCAAGTCATTTTTAAAGTAGCCGTTGGTCTTGCGGCAGCGGGTGATGATGTCAGCTGGGTTTGGACGAGAACCAGGATTTGCTCCAACCAATTCACAGTAAACTCCATTTAGTTGGTTGGGTACCTTTGAGAATTATAAAACATAAAATAATCATTGTGAAGAGAAGAGATTCTTTAGTGAATGACACAATTAAGAAGTAATATGCAAGTTCACCTTCTCAAGTTTTTGAAGACTAGATTGAACAGGGAGGGGTCCATTGAACACTTCCCAAATCAGGCATCCTAGCCCCCACATATCTGTGGAGCTAAAATCAGAAGGGAAACAAAACTATGACTACTGCAGTGCTGAGAATGATAAGTAAATGCCAATAATGTTAATGCATATCATACCATTTTGTAATAAGTCTCTGACGGCCTGGATCTGCTTTTTCAGGAGGATCATACTTATCCAAAGCCGGTAAAATTTTTATGGGCAAACCAACTCCATCATCAGTTCCAGCAACATATTCCACTCCACCAAGTTTCCATTCTCCCGCAGCATTCACAAATACTGACCACATACATACATTATTATGGCGTAAATTACCATCATTATTGAGAAAACTCAAGGCTCTCTAAAAAGAGGGAAGAAAAGGACAAAAACAAAGGACATTTATAGTTACTCGAAAGCTGAAACCTAAATAAAGGTATTTCAATAATAAGACAAAGCAGTTTGAATAAAAATGACCCCATTAATGATACAGGCAATCTGAGTGAGCAAGTTCCAAACCGAAAATTAAAAAAAGGCAATTCTTTTTTTTTTTGAAAATATTTGCATTTTGAAAATAAAAATACTTACAGTGATTTGAAATATTCCCCAGGCCAAATATAGGTCACGTTGTTGTTCAGCTAACTGCCTGTCTTTTGTATCAATCTGTGAGAGCTTTTCTAATCTTAATTGAAGAGGTATGACATATTCTGTTGCCATGAATATCATCTTGTCAGTCTGGAAAATCAAGAGTATTACGAATAGTGTAGCATTTCTTTATGCATTGAGACAAAGTAATAACTAGATAGACTTACTTCCAAACTGTCTAAGTAAGTCAAGATACTAGGGTGACGTAAAGTTTTCAACCGTTTGACAGAAGATCGGGCCACATCAAGTTGAGTCTCACTGCTATTTTTAATATCAAACATAAAGACAGAAACCTCTTCGTCAGTGCCCTGAAAACAACAATGACAAATAAAATAATGTATAAGTTAACAGTAAAGATTAAGATTTGCACACTTTTACCAAGTACTTATTGTTGAAGTCACGATAGGTGCATAATTTAAACGATTCAAAGAGTCATGTGTATATAGTAAAACCAAATTTTTAACAGGAAATAATAGTTTTTCACTCACCTTCTTCTTAGCACGGTGAAGTTTCCAAATACTTTTATCTCCGAGACCAGGAACAGGTTCCCCGATTTCATAATTGAAATCTTTTGACGGATCCCTAGAGAAGAAGGACCACATCTTCCCCTTCGTTTGCACCGCCTCAGGTAAGCAGACTAAGTGGAATGTCACAATTTATCGTACAGGTAGAATTCCAACAATTCTCAGTAGCTATATAGCATAATCAGAATTGACAAGAGCAATGTTTTTCCGAAAATACGATACTAAACACGACACTGGACACAAGGTTCCTGATTTGCCTGTGTTTGCCATCTCCATCAACATCAACAAGAAGGATTCTCAGCTTCGGAAACCTTACAAGAAAACAAGAGCTTGAGCTAATCATGATAAGTTCATTTTAAGGATGTAATAAATTCTGTAAGAAATAATTTTATTAATATTTAAAAGTAAAATACGTTTTAGGGTGGATATTTAATTCAAAATATTGGTATAACGTTTTTTGAAGAAGTCAATATCAGTTTGTCATCCTGCTTAGATAACTCGAGGAACGAAAACATTTTGCGTCCCCCCCCCCTCCCCCACACCGTTACGTCTCCCCTGTTATCTAAGTGACGTTGTATAGTCATTTTTGCTGTCGACCTCAACTAAAGAAAAAAAAAATCCAAGGTATTTGCAACTCCTTGATTTTGTGAGTTATTTACCTGACTGTCTGATCGAATTTGTGACCACAACAGGGTAATGACATGATCATGATAACTTACTTCCTACCAGTGTTCCTGATTCTTGTCATCCTCCTCTTTCTGCACCAGAAATAATTGAGAATTAATGATAATGTTCTGTTTTCAGATTCATCTACTATGGCTCAAAGCTCACCCCTTATCCTTCGTCTGGTTGCTTTCTCCATAAATGCTGCCAACAGGGCTGGGAAAATTATACGAGATGTATGGAGTCAGGGAGAGCTCGGTATTGTGGACAAGGTACTAGGTCAAGTGTGAAATTTGCTGTTCTATCGTCCACATTATCGTTCACATTTTTCACAGTTTTCTATTAAATCTTTATTCATTTTTAAATTGTTTTCTTAGGGCAAGAATGATCTTCAAACAGAGGCAGATCGATCTGCCCAACGCTGCATCATTGCTTCTCTTTTACGTCAGTTCCCTAATATAACTATTATTGGAGAGGAAGGATCAAGTAACTGTGAAGTGCCATCTGACTGGCTGGTAACTGAGAGTGATCCAAGTGTTCTGCAACTCAACTGTCCGAAGGAGTTTGAATCTGTGACGGATAAGGAGGCAAGTAATTCTAATTTGTTATAAAAATTATTTAAAGTCCTGATAATTCAGCAACTGTTAACTTTTCTTCTTTCTGATTTGTTAGGTGGTAGTATGGGTTGATCCACTTGATGGCACATCAGAATATACTCAAGGTAATTTAGTTGTATATATTAATGGACTCTAAACGTGTTTTCATTTTTTTAAATCCTTATTTTTCTTGTTTAACAGGTCTGTTAGAGCACGTCACAGTTCTTGTAGGTATAGCGGTTGGGAGTCAAGCAGTTGGAGGCATAATCCATCAACCATATTATGGTTATGCATCTGGTGCTGAATCTCTTGGACGCACTCTTTGGGGTATTAAAGGAATTGGGGTTGGTGGTTTCACCCCCAGTATCCCCCCAGCAAATCAAAGAATCATTGCTACTACAAGGTCCCACTCCAATGCTCTTGCTGAACAAGCAATTGAAGCACTCAAGGCTGACAAAGTGCTATGTGTTGGTGGAGCTGGTCATAAGGTATGCAATTGGATTCAAACCTTAGTGAAGTGTTTCACTGCAGTGCCCTCTTTCTTATCTTTATCATTGTCTTTATAGGTCTTACTACTGATGGAGGGTAAAGCCCATGCCTATGTTTTTGCTCGAGATGGATGCAAGAGGTGGGATACATGTGCTCCAGAAGCAGTACTAGAAGCAATGGGTGGTCGACTGACGGACATGCGTGGGAACCAGTATGCCTATGATCACAATACTTATCATGCAAATAAAGGAGGAGTCCTTGCCACGGCAAAAGGAGAAGATCATGATTGGTACATCCGAAACATCCCTGAAAATGTTCGAGAATCACTCAAGTAATCAATGAAAGAACTTTAACAAAAAATATTTTAATGGAAAAAAGTAATTTTCAGATTGAGATCACTTTTTAATTCCATGGTTTTGTTATTCCACATATCCAATCATTCCCAGTTTAAAAGCTAACAGTTGTTAAAAACAAAACAAAAATTGTTCTGCATTTCAATTAAATTTTTGATCTGAAATCACTTTGGTACCTGAAGGTAAGGGTTTACTTTGCAAACTCATGTCTATGAAGACTGTAAAATGTTTAGATTATGACGTTTCTTGTTATTGTTTTGCTATGGTTGATGTTTGGATTTTTAAATGAAGTTATTTTGTCAGTATTTTGGTATGCAATTAGTTTTATTATTAATAATGCCCCCTTTAAATGATTACAGTGATGATCAATTTTTCCATTGATTACAAGCAACTAAAAATATCAAACTGCCAAAATTACAACAAATACACTTGCATATACACCATGTACACTCAGGTACTTTACATATGACACATACTCCAAATTGATTGGGATCCAGCTGATCGAAACAATAACTTTACAACTTCGATCGTAGCAGTCGCCGGAGTAGTTTACCACTTGGATTGCGAGGGATTTCAGGTACAAATTTTATTCCTCCTCTGAGTTTCTTTTGTGCGGAAACACGTCCTACGATATAATGATGAAAAATTTATTCAAATGTACTCCTTTTCGGGTAATTTAATATAATAATTAACACATGTGCATGCTAATTACTTACCATTCACATAATCAACCAGCTCTTTTTCTGTAATTTTCACATTTGGTTGTAAAACAACAAATGCTACAGGGATTTCTCCGGATATTTCATCTTTCTTCCCAACAACACATGCGTCCCGAACTGCTTTATTGGTGTACAGTACTGCTTCCAATTCAGCTGGGGCAACCTATTAACAGAAAATTAATTAATCTTGGGTAAAACATGGTACTCAAACTTCATTTCTATAGATGTCATTTAAAATTGTAAAAATACTTTTACCTGAAAACCTTTGTATTTTATCAATTCTTTAATTCTATCCACAACAAATATGTCTCCTTCATCATCAAAATATCCAATATCACCAGTGTGTAACCAACCATCTTTATCAACTGTCTCGAGGGTAGCCTCCTTATTATTTCGGTATCCTTTCATTATCATGTGTCCTTTGAAGCAAATCTCACCCTCCTTGTTTCGAGGAAGAGATTTTCCTGTTTCCACATCCACAACCTACAACAAAATAAAATTTAAAATCTTTTAAGATAGGTAAACTACGCAAATTTTGGCTTTTTCAGTTAAATGTGTACCTTGGCCATCATTCCTTTTACAACACGACCAGAAGAACCCATTTTAACTCTCTGAGCCTGATGTTCTTCAATAGAAGTTGCAAGTACACTTGTTTCTGTCATGCCATATCCTTGTCGGATGTCTTTGACACCAATTCGCTTAGAAACTGCATTTTGTGTGTCTTTACTTAATGGAGCAGCACCGCAAATAATTGTTTGTACATGTGATAAATCATATTTTTCAACAACAGGGTGCTTTGCAAGGAACACCATCAGTGGTGGAACTACATATAAAGTTGCAATCTACAAAAAAAAAAAAAAATTGTAACAACAACAAATTTGATACGACAGCCATTTTCAAATAGATTGTACAAAAATACTATAAGTGGTTTTGTATGTCTTGTCAGTAAAACTGAGGGAGAGAAAAGAAGCCAGGAAAATCTACCTTGTAGTCCTGTACTGCCCTCAAAAAGAGTTCTTCTTCAAAACGTGGGAACACTATCACTTGGTCACCCCGCGCAATTGCAATTGAAAGAAGGGCAAATCCATATCCATGATAAAATGGTAGCAAACCCAATAAGTTCTCAGATGTATTATCACCACGTGGTTTGGGTAGGCCACCATCCCTAAAGAAAATCAATTCTGTTAAAATGTTATGGCTGTTTTCATAAAATTTGACATTATCTTAGTGAAAATGCGGTATTAAGAACTCACAAACAAACATTAATAAAAGTAAGGAAGTTTCTGTGAGTAAGCTCTACTCCTTTGGGGAGTCCTGTTGTGCCACTTGAGCAAAGTATTAGGCACGTATCCTTCTCATGATTCACACGGGCCGGTACAAATGCAGAGCTAGAATACTGAGAGGAAGTGAGAAAATCTGATAGCCTTCTGATATTATAAGGAAGAGGCCCTGGATCACCACAACCAATCAGTACTATATCTCTGATACTGTCAATATTTTCAGCTGCTTTGATCACTCTTTGAATAGTGAGCGCACTAGCAAAGACAATGCGTGGCCTAGAAATACTCATTGTGTGATCCAGCTCTCCTATTATTTGAAAAAAGAAAACAGCAAAATTACTTCACTAATTCCTGTTAATATGTGTAATGCCAAACAAAGAGGGTCATCACCTTCGGTGTAAGCTGGGTTGAATGGAGCACATGATGCACCATTATAAAATGCAGCAAGGACTGGAATGCAAAAGTCAAGACTGTTTTCACTAGAGATTCCGACAACATCACCTGGGCGAATTCCTAGCCCAAGCATATACTGTGCAGCTCGAATACTCTTGGCCAAAATCTGTGGAAATGTTTGCGTTTCTCCAGTGACTACATCAACCTGTAAACAAGAAATTTTCAGGGTTTTACTGTCTACTCCAGGCAGTAGCCAGAATCGACAGTAGGGTGGTGCCAATAGACTTATCATCCTACCTGGGCTACATCATCACCCTTCTGCTTTAGATGATTTAACAAATACTCTCCAATGGAGATTTGTGGAACAGGAGGCAAGCTCTTCCCACGGAGAACATTATCATCATCCATTTTAATTAAAGCTACAGCTATATTGCAGTCCTGTTAAACATAAGGGCAAGTGTGATGACTTCAATAAGAAATATTGGCTCGAGCCTGTGAATGCAAATTTTGAGTTGACATTGCCTGTCTGATAATAACGTTTTACCGAATCAACTGAGACCCCACTCCCGAAGTTCAAAGGCCCAAAGCCTCTGCGCAACAACAGGTGACAGGCGCTACTACTCAAACTTACGAGGGTTTTTTTTGTTTTGTTTTGTTTGGCACCGCGCAGCGCAGCCTCACCACCTCACCGCGCCGTCGTGGACCAGGACACACACTGCCGTCCTTGGAATTACGTGCGACTTAAAGCGACTGCACAAGACTGACTTGGCATATTTACTTGTCCGCCTGACGAACCTGCTGCTCCGATTGTATATTGGACCCTGTGAGGAAAAGGAAACGAATAAACGTCGAGCGAAGGAGGAGAGCAGAGAAAGATGGAGATGAGATAAACGGTGGAGGAAAGGGGGGGGG